GAAACCAAGTTTCTCCTTGGAGGCTAGGATTCTGAAGCTCTGTCTCACATACTTTGGGCACATTGCCAGGAGAGATTGGTCCTTGGAGAAGGCCATCATGCTCAGAAGGCTGGAAGAACAGTGGAGGAGAGGAAAATCCCAGATGATATGAACTGATACAGTAACTGGGGTAATAGAGAAAGGTGTGTTGGAGTCAGTAAGACTGGCTCAGGACAGGGCAGGCTTCAGGACTGTTATACTTAGGGTCTCTTAAAGTCACAAGTGACTCAATGGCACATAACAACAACTTAAGTTTTCAATGAGAAAAGCCTATATTCTAGTTTGTCTGGAGACCATCTCAACATATATTTATCATTGAGCATGATAAATAATAACAATCTAACTTGGTTTTTTAAAATTTACATTTTACAGTAAATGCTGTGATGACTCTAGCCCATGGGGGAAGAAAGATGGGCAATCCTCTTCCACGAGATTGGGAAATAAGGCTTTGGAAGTCAACTTGGGGTCAGTAACTGTTAGTTCCGACTTGCAGCAATGAATCTGGGTTTTAAAAAAAATATAAATATTAATAAATTTCAATTCATAAAGGAATTTCAAAAAGAAGATTCCAGATTAAAAACTGATAGTCACATTTTCTACACCTTTTCCCCTTGAGAGTAAGAAATGGTATCTACTTATTTAAATGATGTGCAAATTTTTTCTGTGTAGATGAAACTTCATCTCACAATTTGGTGTTTCATTTCTCTGGTGTGTGATAGCCTATTACCACCTTTCTTCACAGTATCAGTACCACAACTGATTTTTTCTAATGTAATCCTTAGTATGCCATGTGCTAATGAAGGTGGTTCTAGCTTTCTTGACTTTCTTTTTTCTTCATAGCAGGTGTGACCATCAACGTATTCTCTATTACCTAGCCTTCTGACAATCCCTCCTATACAACTACTGTATTTTCCCGCATACCACTGTATTTCTCAATCTATGTAACTTTGTTTGGAAATGCCCATTGTATCTAGTGCTCTGTGGTGACCATTTCATGTATGTATGTATGGTGATGTCTAAATAACCTTCAAGAATGTTAGTGTAGCACCATCTTTGAAACATCCTTGATTAACTGCAACAATCATTCCTTCTAATTTTTCCTCTGAAAAAAAAATCTCAACTAGCTTCCAAACTATAGTTCTTGTACTATGTATGAGACATTGTGCTAGAGGCCAAGAATGGAACAGTTCCATACAACTAATTTTTTTTTTTTTACTTTAAAATTCTATATTTATTCTATTATCTAAGTATAGAGGCTATTAGACATCTTTAATGTAGTACTTGAATAATTAAATGCAATTTAAAAGTGCTAATGAAAAAAAAAAAAGTTGGCAGTACACCTTACCACTAAGGACACTAAAGTCTTTATAAACATAATAAATAGTATATGCTGTTGATGTGTCCCACTGACTTGATTCTGACTCTACTCACCCCATATGACAGAGTACAACTCTCCCACAGGGGATTCCTAATCTTTATGAGAACAGACCAAGAGAGTTTTATTCTTCCCAAAGAGATAGTGGGTTTAAACTGCCAACCTTTGGTTAACAGTCGATTACTTAGCCACCAAACCACTAACCTTCTTAAACACTACATTATTATCAGAGAGACATGGAAATAATTACAATACAATGTGAGAACTCACTGAGGCACATACAAGACACGATCTGCTTGAGAAAGTCAGAGTTTCAGAGACAGTAAATGAAAGGATGCTTGAGCTGAGTTCCAAGGAATAAACAATTTCACAAAGACCAAAAATGCAAGATGGAGTAAAGAATAAAAAAAGGAAAACAGCATATAGTTTATAAGAGAGTCCTGTATGGCGTAGTGCATAGGGAGTTGTGCTGGTGACCCAAAGACCATGTTTTTCTGCTGGTACAAATCTAGCAGCCCTGGCAAGCTCTGGTGACCTAGTGGCAAGAGGCTGCACTGTTTGAATCCACCAGATGGTCTACTGGAGAAGGAGGGATCATCTCCTCCTGTACCAGTCAGATCCGATTTGACGGTGTGTGTGTACACACACACACACACACACACATTATTTAAAAAAAAAAATTAAAAAATATCTAGCAGCCCTATGGGGGAAAAGTCGGACAAACTCCAGAAACCTCAGTGTAGTCAGCTATGAGTTGGATCTAACTCAACAGCAATGAGAGATAAAGAATATTGTCAGAAGGATCAAAGGAGGATTGCTTGATCATCTTAAAACATGAAGGCTGGGATCAAGGATCTATTCTTTTAGGATAGGTTTTGCTGGGAAATGATTTGTGGCTTTACCAGGTATTTCGGGGGCAGAATAAAGGATGGTCTGTGTTAGTGCTATTTTAAGACTCTACAGCATTTTACTGAGGTCTCTGGAGATGCCATCTTGCTTAGGTGTGTTGGAGACTAAAGAACCAACAGGGGAAAGACGAGCAGTCAACTTGCCAATGACATGTTGAGAAGACATTTATCTAGCGTCTACTACGCATAAGGCCCTGGTTAAAGTACTTTATATTATCATACCTAATGATGAGTAAAGAAAAAAGGGAAAAAGTCTATGACTAAAAGGCAGGCTTTTTATTTTTTCATGGATCCATCAGAACTCATCTAAACAAACAATTAACAATCTGATAAAAAGTATTCTTACCTGCGGGATAAGTCCTAAATATAGACTCAATAATATCAGAGGTTAAATTATATCTCAGACCATTACAGCCATCTGTTTGAGGTCGGACATCAGACTAGAATAAAGATCACAAACCAGTTAGAAGATTAGGGAAGACGCTTATGATCTGAAATACACACTGGTGAACTACACTTTCAATTTCCGGGACAGAATAAGTCCTTTACCTTTATTTCTCAGAGATAAGGCTAAACAAGGCTTGGCCTGTTTTCATAGTTTTTACTGACCAGCTCCCCGAGTAGAGTTAAAAAGGCATATTTCAGTGTGGTTAAAGGCAGCTAGCTAGTGTAGCTTAACATAAAACTTGTGTAGTTACCAACTGCACCATCAACTCTAGTTACTGAATAATTGTTGGCATTACCTAACCAAATGCTTTCTTCAGAAGATATTAATTTCATTTACTATGAAGCACCCAAAATGATAGCAAACACAAAATAAAATGCGTTATTGATTCTTTTAAGTGTAGCCTAATTAAATCCCACTTTTTAGTTCAACACGTTATAGTATTTCCAAATTTTCCACTTGCTATTTTTTATAAATCTTACATTTTCTACGAAGGTCATTTTATTTTTAAAGGAAATAGTACACACATATATATTTCTAAATATTCTTTTACTGTCAGTGAACATCTATGGAGATTTTGGAATTCCATTCATTCATTGCTGCACTTTTCTCCCAATACTACATATATTTTACAAGAATACAATGAACACTAAACTTTTAGCTAATACACTTTATGGAAATGCTAAAACTTTATAAACAGAACTGGCTCTGTTGACATATAAGTATCAGATTTAAAAAAATTTTTTTTCCCTTACAGAAATCTAAATGGGTTACATACCAGAAAAGCTGCAGAAATGCCAACATCTTGCTTATGATTGGAAGTGGAAGAATTATCTGCTGCATTCACATTTAAACGACTGGCCCAGAATTCCTCAGCACTGATCACTTGACTCACAACAAGGTCTTTATAAAGCTGAAACAAAACAGGATCTTCTTGCAGCATTCTGGTGATAGAATATATTAAATGTAATTTTAGAAGAAAACCCCATTCAAGAAACATTTTTAAAAGGAAGACTAATGATATGAAATATTTAAACACACGTCTATTTTGTTATGTTTGGACGAGACCAATTTAGTCCATTCTTTAGTAATTAAAGCAGAAACCATTTTTGAGAAATATGAAGTGGGAAGTACATGGAAGCAGCAGAGACTAAATCCCTTGAAGGCAGGAATTTGGTCTTATTGATCTCTGTATTCCAGTGATACAAAGATTGTTGTGCTGGTCTTTATACTGTACTCTTTAACATATACAGTGGATGGGGACAAGAGAGGGCATGTGAGAGAAGGTATGCAAGTAATTGTTCATGGTGATAAGCACTTTGAGCTAATAAGCGCTAATGTCCTGAAAGATATTAGTAATGGAATAATTCATCTTATCAGAAATGCTCATTATTTTGCATGCTGTCTCACTTTTTCATAACATGATTTCTCTGAAGTTTCTTGTTCACAAATACTTGTTCCCCAAAACGTCACAAATGTTTTCTTCTAATGGCTTATTATCTTCTAGTAGTTTAACATCTCTGTGACAGAGAATGGGGGAAAGGAATAAAAGAACCTTAGGACGACTAATTACAGGTTCTAATTTCAGTGCTTTTGCTAGTGAAGATGTTAGTCCTGAGGTAGTTAATTAACTTCGGAGAATGTGCATTTATTTACATACAATATAAAATGGAAACAACACTATGTCCCCATTACATAATGAAAGAAAAGGCATAGAAAAGTGCCCTGAAAAATTACACAAATGGAAGGACAAAAACGAATGTTTAACTTCTAGGATGCCAACATTTAAAATATGCTTCTAAATTAATTTTTCAAATAATTTTGTGAGGTTGAGATCATTTATCTAACTATACAGATAAGGAACTTGAAGCTAAGAGTGATTATGTAATTTACCAAAGCCATATTTGTAGCATGCTAAAACCAAGAACCAGTAGTAAAGACACCAATATGAATTATTTTCTTATATTATACTATTATAGTGCAAGAAGTGTGAAGTAACAAAATTAAAGGGCTGTTGGGGTTAGGTACCAATAAGTTGACTATGAATCATAGTGACCCTATAAACAACAGAACAGAATCTTGCCCTATCCTGTGCAATCCCATGATCTTATATATATGAATGCACTTTAACAGTCTGACATATCTTGTTGAGGGTCTTCCTCTGACCCTCCACCCTTCCCAGTATGTCTTTCCAAGGACTGGTGACAGCATGTCAAAAGGCCTAGGATCTCTTTAAAGACAATTCCTTCCCCCCTCCTTCACCTGTTTTTCTCTTCCAGTTCTTTATTTGCTTTTTTCTTGAATTTGGGTAGTAATTGTTGAAGAAGGTCCTTTACAGCATCTCGCTCTTTCACTGCCATGCTTTCATTGGAAAAATGGAAGTTAGTTGTGTCCCCTGCATGTAGGACCAGCTGAAGCTGAATTTTAGCTTTTCCTTCTGGACTGATTTTCTGGCCTAAAAAGAAGTATATTACTAATTAGCTCAAGACACCATGGGAACGGTCATACATTACTTTTCTTCTCATGATTAGGATTCCTTTGGGCTTTAGTTGTACTGTTCCAATCTTGATGAATTTACAGAAATAACTGGGTTATAATCCCATACATAAAATCAGGGCATACGTAAATTCACTGAAAATACCTTGATTCCCTTTTCAGTAACCTTTGGTATGGCTCTTTTTCACACACTTCCATTTTCAGATACTAAAGTGTTTCTGCTTCTATTCAATGGAAGAAGTCTTTTTAAAGTTTTCTAAAACAAGTCACTCACTGCTGTCAACTTTTCTACTCCTAACAACCCTTCATCAGGTTTCTGAGGCTATAAATTGTAATAGACTGCTCATCTTCCTGCTGTGGAGTGGCCAGTGGATTTGAACTGTAGAGATGTGTCATCTCTGGTTCAACAGTGCAATCTGCTGTAGACTATGCCACTTGAGTTTCCTAAAACACAATTAGGAGCCCTGATTCCATTTTAGACAAACTGCCTTCAGTCAACACACTGAATAAAAATGACTTTTCATAATTAAAACAATATGAACAACACAACTACTCACTGCAAAGAACTTTAAAATTTCCTATTACAAAGATCTGAGATCCCCTTTCAACAAACTGATCAAGCTTAGACTTTTAAGAAAGTGGGCTACTGGATAATATATATTTAAGATGAAAATTAAGGGGTAAACATCACCATCTATCATGAATTCTCCCACAAAAAGTTTAATCTGAATATAATAAAGTTTTGAACTTAACTTTTGCTTTTTTAAGAAACAAAACTATTAGTGGTAAGGAGCTGCAACTACAATCCCAGAGGCACATGGTTCGACTCCACCAGATGCTCTGCTGGGGAAGGAGGGACAATCTCCTCCTGTACCAGTCAGATCTGATTTGATGGTACACTCACACAAAATAATAATAATAATAATAATAATAATAATAATAATAATAATAATAATAATAATAATAATAATAATAATAATAATAATAACTATGGGAAAAGACAAAACAAAACCCACAAAACTACAGAGAGGGTAGGTGAAGAGGATAACAATATACAGCAAGTCTGCTTAGACACTGTAGTAAGTTAATTAACATAAATGAATGGTAATTAATGCCTATGAATGATTAGGAAAAAATCAATGAGATTTGTAAATTTTCACTCAAATAAAACATTTTTTTTTTAAATTACAGGAACAAAATTTTGAATGTAAAGGGAAATGCTGATATTCTATAAGCCTATACTCTTAAAAGAAACAATTACATATATTTGATACTAGTTGTAAAATAAAATTGCCAGCAGCTACTAACATTGGGATAACTAGAGAAATGTATTTATAATATAAATCCTTTTGATGTGGTCTATTTTAAGCAACAAAAGTACATAATATACGTTGTTATGTGTTATCAAATTGGAATTGACTCACAGCCGACCTTCTAGATTTTTAGTGACTGTAAATTACAAAGGAGAAGACTGTCCACTAGTCTCTCTTGGAGCGGCTGCTGGATTCAAACCGCATGCCATTGGGTTGGCAGCCTCTTTACTACTAGTCCACCAGAGTTCTATACAATAGAAGCCATACAACAAAGCAAGCAGAGCAAAATGTTAACAGTTGTTAATACCCAAGTGGGATTCATTAGTACCATTTTCCTAATTTTTCTGTAGCTTTGACAGAATAAATACAAAATCAGGAACTGGAACATCAGATTATGTTCAAATAGCAAAGGTTTGCATTTTTCAAAGTCTCATTTAGCAATAGTAGTTTCTTGTTCATGAAAGAAGTAGAAGTTGGCAGGTAAATAACAATTATGGGTATATGCTGATAAAAAGACTTTCTTCTTAGCTCTAAACAATTTGCTAAACCATAAACAGAAATGTCAAAATGATCCTGAAGGCAAGTGGTTCAAATCCACCAGATGCTCTGCTGGAGAAGGAGGGGCAATCTCCTCCTGGACCAGCTGGATCCGACTTGATGGTCTGTGTACACACACACACAGAGTCAAAATGAAGACCAACAGTGTAGAAGAAATACCTTATGGCTAAATGCATCCAATATGAAGCAATTTATAGCCTGCAAGTGCATTCTACTGCTCCATTTCTTGGAAAAAAAAAAAAAAGGCTACCATTCCTTTTTATGTACCTTTTCCTAGTTACTACTTTTATTCTTGCTCTATTTTACCTCCTGCCTCTGAGAGACTTCATTTTGAAACTCTGACTAGTTATCTTCAACTATAAGAAACGACACTTTTGACCACTTTTGTAACTCATTTTGGGTAATGCTCAATGGCTCCTTTCATAGACACGCATTCTTCTCAAACATTAATCTTAAAGTGAATGCTAACAATTTATGAGCATTGTTCACAGGACTATTATCAGGAACTTGTGATACATTTTTCTCCACATAAACTAAGTTTCATTTTGAAAGGATAAAAAAAATCTGTCTTGGATGTAACAAGGCCAGAATGCTCTCATGTTTTAGTGAAAAAGCCACAACCTTCAAAGACATCAAAGTGCCACAAGAGCAGCAACAATGGTTCAAACAATGCACCAAGGACCCGGCACAGGAGAAGGCAGTGTTTCATTCGGTTTTATCAACTTAATGGCACTTAACAAGCCTAAACATTCTTTATTTAGGAGAAAAATCTTTTCTGAGGAAAAGGAATGAATCTATTAATGTCCAGTTCAGTTAGCATATTTTTGTCAAAGGCCTGAATGATCATCAGTCTGTTTACCCATAAGAAGGAATTGTAGAAATGCCTCTTAAGAGTTAATTCATAGTAAAAGGTTCTAATCCAGCATTTACTTTTTTTTTTTTTTAAGAAAAAAATCTAACTACTGAGTTACAAAGAATCGCATCATCTTAAAAATTTGGAAATGGAAAGGATTTTAACTTTCAAATTAAAAGTAAAAAGGATTAATGGTCACATAACCAGAAATTAGACAATTTGCTTAAAGAATCCATCTTCATTAGAAGGCAATCTGGCATCTATTAACATTATAATGCACAAACCATTTGAAACAGTTCAATAAAAGATTGCATTCTATAAACAGAAGTTCAAAAAGTAATAGGCACAGATATAATGTTGCATCATTGCAATAAGAAAATTTTAGGAACCATAACCAACCCACCATTCCCCCTCTTTTAGCATCGTATCTTCCTCTTCTCTCCGTATTAGGCATTTACTCCCGGAACATATCAACAAAGGGAGTGAACAGCTTCACCTACCATGGGGTGTCTCTTCCTTCCCTCTGTAGAAGACCACCCACCAGGCTAAACCACAATACAATGTCCCTCCCTAAAGACCTTTACTATAAAGCCTGCCCTAATCCATTTTAGGGTATTTCCTTGGTCTGCCTGTTTCTCTTCTCTGCAGATCAAGGAATCCCACCTGGGAGACCCCTTAATAAAGCTTCTTTAGCTTCAAAAAGAAAAAGAATGAAAGAAAATTTTAGAAATGTCCTAAGTGTTCTTCAAAAGCTAAGTGATTAAATACACCACTGTACATCTATTCAACAGTGTCATGAAACTCATCAAAGATGGTATTTGTGATCTGTATATGAAAGAGATCTACATAAAGCTGTACAGAGTATTAATGAAAAAATTTAAAGAACAGTATGTACTCTGTTATCTTGCAATCATTTCTGTAAAGTTTGGTTTTTTGATACTATAATTAGAAATCCACACGAAGTTGTGTAAATGATTTTTTTTAAATTACTAGCAAATATGACATCACTTTTTACATAGCTTACTTACATTTAATATCTGCATACATATGGCTGATTGTAAATCTATCTTTGCCTTCAGGTGCCCAAGCAATTCTTTCTGCCATGAGGTACAGTGCTCCATCTTGTTTCTTCTGACGCACCTTTTTAACAATCAGTAAAACTTCTTCAGATGAAGTTGCCATGATGGCTAGAATATGTCACCAGGGGAGGGCAATGGAAAAAGAAAGGAAAAGGAAAAAAAGAAAAGTTTCTTTAAATTTGTTGTTAATAAACAACACAGGTTACATATATAAGTAAGGGTGGAAGAGATTTAATAGTATAATTAATACACTGAAAAGAAGTCACATATCAACCAAGGTTAAAGATGTTCAGTTGCAAGGCCTCATCTAAATCTAAAATCTATACTGCAGGAAATAACAATGACATGAGGGGTCAGGAATGTGCAACAATAAAAAACTCAATAAATATTAAAAAAATAAAATCAAAGACAAAAGTTAAACAGCATTCTTCCTTTAAAATCAAACATCATTTTGATTTCCCAAATCATTTCACATAGGCTCATGATGGTATTTCTTTTTCCTATTAGAGTCTTAAATACATGACTTAGAAGTATGTCGTCTTTTATCCAATTGCAGAACTTTAGAAATACATAGGATTCTACTGTGTAATAGGGAGCTCTGGTGGCCTAGTGGACAGTTCCACTGTCAACCCAAAGATAAATGCTTCAAATCCATCAGCTTCTCAGCAAGAGAAAGCTAGGCAGTCTTCGCCAATGTGATTTACTTGCTTCTGAAAACTCCCTTAAGGGTCAGCCATGGGTTGGTTCTGACTTGATGGTAACACAACAATAACTACTGTATAACTAGTTCAAATTTAACTAACAGGCCAGAGAGCTGGGAGTGACCCTCCCAGAGACATTATCAGAGCTGAGACCATACATAGTTTCTTGATTCTTGGTGTTTTTATTTCCATGTATGAAAATGTTTTTGTTAAGATACTTTTAAAGTCAATTTCAATTATCAATGCTCCCACATCACATATAAGAGCTCTCTCACAGGGTTTTCTAGACTATAGTCTTTATGGAAGGGATCACAAGATTTTCCTCCTGTGGGATCACTACTGGGCAGGTTCAAACCTCCAAACCTTTAGGTTAACAGTTGAGTGCTTAACCACTGAGCAATTAGGGCTCCTTGTATGAGAAGTTGGACTGAAAAAATTTAACACAACACACACTATATTGCTATTATATGCTGCTGGGCCAGAACCAATTCATAATTGACCCTTCAGCAGGTTTTCAGAGGCTGTAAATCACATCTTTCCCCCTTGAAGCAGTAGGTAGATGTCAATCGGCTGCCTTTGGAGTTGAAAATTCAACTCCTTAACCAGGAGGCCACCAGAACTCCCTGAAAGGACAAACCAAATGTTGAAACTGGACGGGTGACAGTGGAAGTGGATAAGAAGGGACGAAAGATGCAGAGGAAGGAGGATCAAGAGATATCGTAAGTAGTGAAGGTGGTGTCAGCAGAGCTTGTGCAAAGCCCATTTCTATGTCTTACTGATACGAGACAGTAGTGCTCTGTGTAGAAATACATGAGAAGGAAGAGTAAGTTTGAAAGTTCTGTTCTGGACATGATGAGTGTTAAGGTGCTGCGGAGTTATTCAGGTAAATGATGTACACATTTATAAATGTGAGGACTGAGCTCAACAGGGCAAATGTTTTTTAACTAACTCCAGTAATAAAGCTGTCATATACCACTGAGTCAGAAATGACTCATAGTTGAACCTTTAGTTGATTTTTAGAGGCTGTAATCTGTAATCAGCCTCAGAAATTCTACAGTTCTCCTGTTAAGAGGTCACCATGAGTTGGAATCTATTTGATGACAGTGAATCCAACTTAGTTTTGAAGTTTACTTTAAAGAGTATAATATTTACTTCCTAAGTCCACTACCAGGAGCTCCGGTGGCACAGTGGTAAAGAACTGCACTGCAAACACAAAAGTACATGGTTCAAACTCCACCAGCTGCTCTGTAGGAGAAATATGGATAATCTCCTGTGCAATTCTGTCTCTGAAAAACCACTGGAGGGTCAGCTATGGTTTGGTTCTGACTCTGGTACACAAAATTCACTATACCTAGTGGGTAATGAGATGCATGGTAGAACGAGAAAGACAGTTTGTCTGAATCTATCAGCTGCTCTAGGGGAGAAAGATGGGTAATCTCCTCCCATGTGACTTACAGATTCTGAAAACCTGCTTGAGGGTCAGCTATGAGTCAGTTCCAACTTGACAGCATTAAGTTTTGAGACTTAATACTGCCCATGATAGAATTCTGATAGCATAGATGTTATACTGCTGAGCAAAAAGCCCCTTGTTTCCAGCGGCCTAAATGGCCAAGTAGCTATTCAAGAGAAAGAAAAGAAAGTCCTTCTGCTAAGAGCTAAGATTTACCACCTTAGAAACTCAACAGAAGGTTGTCCTGACTCAGAACTGACTCAATGTCAATAAGTTTGGATCTGGAATATTCACGTTAAGGAGTCACAATAGCATAGCATCTATCATGTCAGGCTGCTAAATGTTAAGGTTGGTAGTATAATTCAACAGGTGCTCTCTGGGGAAAAGAGGGACAATCTCTTCCCATTAAGATTTAAGGCCTTGGAAACCTGATGGAGGAACACTAAGTTGGAACAACTCAATGACAATGGGTTAGATTTTGTGGGGTTTGGAATGTGCATCATAATCAACATAACTACTGAAAAACTACCTCCTGTATTATGTCAAATTATACTGTACATTATGCAAACCACATTTTGACAAATGAGAACTGTAAAAAAGATGGGAGAGGATAAACTGTGAGAGGTTAAGGAGATTATTTTAGGGATGCCCATAGCTGAAGTAAGTCGTGCCCATCGCTCAGTAAGCAGAGCTGACAGAGTAAGTTCCCACTCAGCTAGGTTTTAAAAAACCTGGCCTTGGAGGGGGTGGGCAGGGAGAAAAAAGCAACAATGCATGAATGGAAATCCAAAATTTCTGTAAACGTTCACTGAAATTAATAATAATAAACCCACAGCAACAACAACAAAACCTGGCCTTCAGGCACACATCAGCATGGGGGGGGGGGAAACAAGACAAACTTTTCTGAGTTGAAAGACTAGGGAAAAAAATGGCTAATAAATACTGGGTATTACTACTTAATTCTTCACTACTAACTTGCAAGGCAAATTTTGACAAGTTTATTAAAACCAGTGAGACTATCCTACCATGGCTCTGGAAACTTCTGGATATTTTTATAAGGGATCCTTGGATGGCACACATCTTCTCAGAAGAATTCTCTTAAGAGCTTTAAAACATTTCATTCATGAAAAATACTTGTATAGTTACATTTAAATAGATTATCAAGGTGAAGATCTAGCTTTACTTAAAAGATTATTTACTTAAATAATCTACCTTGAGACTCCTTTAAATAGCAAGATCTTCTAGTGATGGCACTAATTCACTGGCAGCTGAAACTTCACCTGCCTGCAGATGAAGATGTGTATATTGCTCTGAGCTTATGAAGGCACTCCTCCCTGTCCACCGACAGGCTAGGTTTACTACTTTTCTCAGGTTCAAAGTTACCATGTTAAGGTCTTATAATTTTTTACATAGCACTTATTGCAACCATAACTCATTATTTATGCAATTCTTTTTTATGTTCATCTCTTTTGAACATTACTACATACAAAGTAATGTTCAACTTACCATAAAGTAAGCCTCTGATTAAAGGCAATTTACATTTGTCCTTTATTTCTATGTAAATTTGCCTTCAGGAAATAATTTATCACAATCACCTCCACTTACTGAATGTGCAGCTATCTAGATCACTGAAAACCTCTGGGCTTTTCTTTTAACACTAAAGGCTAAATAAAAAACTGCATGCTCCTGTTCCAAATTACCTACAAATCAGACTTACAGACACACACGTTTAACCCTGGGATCTAGACTTCTTAAAGGAGGACTCAGGCTGCTTGGTGCAATAAAGCACCCAGCAGTCTTTGGCCCCAGAAAGGGTTCAATAAGTAAACTGCAAACATATAAGATATTGGTTATTAAAAAAAGCCCCTATCTTGGCTAAGACACAAGGTAAAGTCAGATGAAAGACCTTTACACATGCTTCCTTTGCAAAAAAGTCTAGGAGTCACTAAAAAACTCTCAATTCATAGATCAGAGTGCCATTTCTCCACACAGATTCCAAATGGCCCTTAACCTTGAAAGCCAACAATGATAGGGAGAATTTGAAACTGCTAAGCAGAATTCTTTTAAATTACTGCACTTCTGCAGTAATTACCTACATTCCTTTTTCAAAAATGTAGATAAAGTGTGAATCAAAGTAGGTGAAATATAAATTCCGTCTCACCCTCAAAAAAGGTTAAGTACTGGACAGAGTTGTTTTACCTGCCAGCATACAAAATGGAGAGTTGAAATTTCGCTTGCCTCTGGAAAAAACAGAACACTTCACTCCAGATCATTTTAACATTTGTTAATACAGTGCCAGAAGGAATAAGGAAGGTCTCAGTTGTATGTAAAGAGTTATTAGAGTGTACTTTTTATTTTTCAACATAAGCCACGTTTATTTTGCTTTTTAAAGTAATGTTCTTAAAGCACTATACCTTTGTAAACAATGTAAATTAGTATAAGCCATCTCAAAAGCTAGAGTTCTGATTTTTTAAGTGAGTTGTTAAAAAGATGCAGCCTATTTTAACAGGATAAATATTTTTAACCATTCCACTTCTGATGCCGACAAGCAACAACAGACACACACACAAAACCAAAAAGAACTATGTAAAAACAACTGCATTCCCATATTATTTTAATTTGCTTTTACAATGGGGTGATATGCACATGATCTTGCTGCAAACTTGCCATACAGACTTGTAATACATATAGTCTAGGAACACTTCAGTCCAAGAGGTGCTATTACTTCACACGATGCAGCACTATAATGCTTTTTTTTTTTTGGGGGGGGGTGGAGTACAGGAGGAGACTGTTCCTCCTTCTCCAATAGAGCATCTAGTGGATTCAAACCACTCACCTCTGGGACTGCAGCTCAGCTTACTATAATAATCCTTTTAACAGCACCATTTGTTTACTCATACCTTTTCTTCTACACTGAAATACAAGTTAGAAAAAAGAAAATGTTCCCTAATTAAAAATCAG